CCATCATCAAATCGTATAGCTTCAGCTTGACCACTTTCAAAACACACTTCTTTTAACCATAAACTACAAAGCTCTACATAGTAGCCAACTAGAAGCAAGAAGCAACAACACAACGAACAAAAAAACTAAAGATACTAATAATCAACCGAACTTACTATTACCATACTTCGGAGCTGAGTCTAGCCTCTCCATCACAACCTGAGCTACCCGTGGTTGTTATCAGACAAGTGAAACTCGTAATAGCTAAACCAATACTGCCTAAAATTTCAGCAGCTACCACACACAGTCTTATGCTACACCTTTTATACTTATTAAAACAGCATCTAATACCTCTACATAGGTCTAATAATTAACCTACAAAGGCTAAAATGCTAAATGTTTATCAGAATCAGACATGACCGGAATCGAACCAGAAAAGTTGAATTCCCTGTCGACCACTCGAAATTCCATAATTCAATTACCACTTATATCAATATACTACATATACAAGCACACAATATACTCAAAACTGTTAACCAAAAGGACACCAAAAAGCATAATCACTAACTATATAAGATAATTTCACATGCTATTAATACACTCAGAATCTATTCCAAAGCTAAAATAACATTATTAGAAAATCCAAAAATACAAGAATCTCACCAAAAAAAAAAATACAAGAATTATAACCAAAATAGTAAACGAATCATTCAAAACATTCAATTCCACCAAAATTCACTCTAATTAACTAAATTCAACCAAAAAAACTATAAAACATATCAAAACCAAAAGTAAATTTTCAAATTACCACAAATAATCGAACTTTTTCAAAATACTCAAAAATTAAGCTGTGAAATTACCTGAAACTCCAAGACAATCATGAAGTTTACGAGGTGGTTTTTCCTTATGCTCAGTAGACACTTGATAATCATCAAAGTTCAACCGCCATGACCGGTCACCGGTTGCGCCGCCATTGTCGTAGCTAGTGACACCAGCATCGTTAAGCAAGCGTTCATCAGAAGCGTCATCATTACGTAAGTCTAGTCTCACCATTTCCCCCATTTTTTTCTCTCCTGTTTTTCTTCTTCACTGAGAAATAGGTAGAAAGTGAAAATTTAACCACAATGCAGGGGTATTATGGAAAATTGGAGGGTATTTTTGGAGGTTGGGCGGAAGTTTGGTGAGTGAAATTGTGAATATCGTGGGAGGCGGAAAGTTTTGAGGAGGATAGAGAAAGTGGTGGGGAAGAGTTAAAAGAGGGTGTTACTCATGCGCGTTTAAAGTTACGCGCTTTGTGATTGGTTGAGAGTATGACGTGGCGAGATGTGGTTGATGTGAATGTGAGAGAGAGAGTGGGGAAGAATTGAGAAGATACGAAATATTTTGTTTTGTTTTGTTTCTTTATTTGGAGTGTATCAAAAGAGAGTGAAAGGAGTGAAGGTGGAGACATTCATGAAGTGGGGAAAAGGGTACGTGGAAAGAGGTGAGTGGTTGATTAAGATGTGAGGGGTTTGAAGAGTGATTTAGTTTTTCATGCAAATTGTAAGTTTATGTTATTTATGTGTGGAGATGATCAACTAATTTTGTACTAGAATAATAAATTTTTGTGTTGTTGTTTGTTGAATTGTTGATGATAGTGGTAGTGGTGTATGAATGTTTTGGATAATGTGAGATGTGACAAAGATACGAAAGTAAAGAGCAAAACATATGTTATGGATAAGAAGTGGGGTATTTGTGATGAAATTAGGGTTTTTTTTTTTTTTTTTTTATTATGTTTTAAAAATTTTGTTTCTATTGATAATTAGATTAAGTAGGGCTGAGGCCAAAAAAAATCAGCTCACTTCTCGAGCCAGGCCAAGCTTGGAGCGTTTTTTTTTTTTTTTTTTTTTTTTTTTTTTTTTTTTTTGCCCAAACCCGCCCAAATGATCGGGCTTTTCGTGCCATTTGCAGGCCGAGGAAAAAAAAATCAATTAAAAACGCAAATTTTTTGCTGAGGTTGCTACAAAACGGCATCATTTTGCTTTGTGGATAGCCCAGCTGTATTTTCCTTCTTCCTCTAAACGACATCTTTCTTCTTAGTTCCTAAATTTTACTTTCTTTCGCAATTTGTTCTCATAACTGAGTAATATATGTTATTTAATTTGTTTCCAATTGAAGCATTTAATTACTTTCCATTTAATTCAGAATTTCTCTCTCTTCTCAATTTTACCATATTTTTTTTCTTCATTGTTCCGAATTCGATTTTTAAGTTTCAATTCTTTTTGAATGAATTCAAATTTTCCCTTTCTTTTTTATACTACTATAAATCAAGATTTCGATTCCTTCGATTATGCATAACAATGGAACTTGCTCTGATTTTTCATCTAGAATTTTCCTACCTTTATGAATGAATGTAAGTTTATTTTAATTCTTCAGTTTGATTTTTGATTGAATAACTTAGTGCATTTTATTGAATAATTTTTTCCTTTTTGATTCAATGAAGTTTATTAATGTATTTAATTAATGAATTTGAGTATCTTATTGTTTCATGCACGATTATGTTGTTAATTTTGTCGATTGATTATTTCATAGATTGAATAGTTGCTTGTTTAGTTTTTTTTTTTATTGTATAGTTTTAACTTTGATTTTGTTTTTTTACTATATTTTGTATGTTTTTTATTTGATTATACATGTTTGGCATTATAATAACATTATAATTTGGACTTTTGATTGGGCTAGTTTGGCCTATGCTGACTTTCTACTTGGGCTGCGACTCGCCTGTCGTCACCGGAGCTTTGAGGAGGAGGTCACTCTTTCTAGCTTCTGAAAGATCGTAGAGGTATTCTCTGTATTCTTCAGTAGAATTAGGTTCCTTGTGCGTCGGCTTTTGCTGACTCTTGGACTATTCTAACAGGTCTAGTTCTACGAGTATTTCCCGTCCTTGGCACCGGCACGATCTCTACCTAGGGGGCTCCCCATTGCTTCCAGTTGGGGAGGTCGCTATCCTGGCGTGGTTGCCACCGCACACGTGAAAGAGGCGCTTCTCGCGGTTAGGATAATCTCTCTATATCGTTTATTATTTTCTTTTGACCTCTTTGTAGGATTTCTTGACTTATTTTGTCCCTTTTACGAGTCCCGATGTCTCCTACCGTCCATGGGTGGGATTGACGATTCTACACTGGCTTACTAATACACCGCCCAGAGGCGTTATTTTTGGGGGACCTACGATGTTGTGGTGTGCTTGGGCGAGAGAGGTGTGGTTCAGCACTCCTTAGAGGTTTTCGTCGTTCTATCCCGTCCTCCACGACATATGATGGACCAGACGCGTATCTGAGCACACATGGACTCGGAGCTGATCGGTGCGGATTTGGCGAAGCTTTAGCCATCCGGTCGATCTTATGCAGAGTGGCTTCTACCACGGTTGGCTCGGTCACCTTGCATTACGGAGGAGGAGGTTTTTTTTATTTGTCTTCTTAGTAGCCCCCAACGATATTAAATTGTTGGAGTTTACTTTTCGCAGGCTGCAGCAGCTGCGGAGTTCGTGCCTCCACGTATGTCCATTGTGTACTAGGGGACATACGGTCCGATTAAGGAGATGGAGCCTCCTGCCCTTGAGGAGTGGCGTCTAATTTCAAGGTCGATCCCTCGATGTCAAAACTGGTTGAGTTATCTCTGGTAATTGTCAGTATGTATATCTTGATTACTTCTGAATTCATTACTTTTTGCAGTTCTCAAGTGAGGTGATGACAAGAATGGCGACAGCTATGGACGCTTTCCGGTAACAAATGGTGAGGTTGAGTCACCCAACCTCATGTTGTTGCGATGGCGACGTTGTAACGGTGTGTTTCTTGACTTTCATTGTTTTTGTTTATTTGCCACTTTATATTTTGACTCACTTTATTGTTTTATTTCAGCCCGCCCCTCCGTCACGTACTCGCTTGAGGCCAGAGGGCTTGAGGGAGAAAGCTGAATCGAGGCGTCGTCACACCTCGGTCGAGATGAGAATGGGAGAGAAGCGTCAGATCATACCGTAGTACTGGATGATTTTGGCTCTTCTTCTGAGGGGTTGGCAGTGAGGCCACCTGGTCGGGGTTAGTCCGACGTTGGTTCCTTTTAGGGTCGGATGAACGTACAAGGTGGGCTCGTCTTCGCGACAGCTGCAGTATGAGGAGCAGCAGCAAGGTCAAACGGGATGGGCTGGCCCTACACTCTCGTTTCCGATGACCAGGGGTGTTGAAGATGGCCCAAGGAGTGACCCCACGTATGTTGCAGTTTTATGATGCTCTGGGTATCCGTCCTCCAGCGCCATAGCCTTTGTACCTATATTGATTTATTTATGCATTTTTTAACTAGGTAGACTTTGCTTTTTTTATGCGGATCTATAACTCGATTAGACATGATGTATATGACTGGGTTAGACATGATGTATATATACATATTAGACTTACTATGTAAATTTTATTCTTTGCATTTTATTTTTACATTTTATTATGTGCATGTGAGTGTGTGAATTTGTGACAAATTTGCGCGAAAATTTCCGTCATTTTTATCATCATTGGAGGGTATCTGAGTTTCTCCTCTAAAAAGAAAAATGAAATGGAGTTAACTAAAATAAGCATAAACTTAAAATAATTTATGGATAAATTTTTTTAAAATTTTAAATTCCCTCGAAAATCGAAGTACAAATTCGAGTCAACATCAAATTAACACATTCCAACATGACGTGGCATCAAATTTTTATCGCGGCGCGATGATCTCAAATTCGAGTAGAATTCGGTTTTACGTCGATTTGTTTATAAAAAGCCCCCAAATATTCTGATTTTAGCATAATTCGAGCAAATAGCAATTTAGATTTTTGATTCCTGATCAAGTAGGAATGCCTAGGAATTTTTGTGATACAACATGAGTGGTGTTGGTCTTTGACTGCTAAGGAGAGAAAAGAGCTTGACTTTTTCCACATGGGGGGTTTATTTGGCATTAAAGGGGTAGATCTCAATATTGACTTTATTCATGTCACCTTAGATCATTGGATTCCAATACCCATTCCTTTAGATTTGTCGATGATAAGATTAGCCCTTTGTTGGACGAATTTGGTGCAATTCTTGGTTTTCCTTCCTTAGATTTTGAGGTAATTCCCATGATATGTGAATACTACTATAAAGATTTTGAGCAATTTTTCAAACCTTAAGGGCAATGATTTTAAAACCATAGTTAATGGTACCGAGGTTGATCTTAAAAAGTTTGTATCTTTTTATTTTAATATACCAAATAAAGTCGGAGTCTTTCCATGTTTATAAGAAGAAGTTCCTTCCTTTTTTGCATGGTTAGCCAATATTTACTTACTAATGGTAGTATGCATACGGGTCAAGCTATTTAGCATGTGTCATGGAGCAAATAGATGCCGGGAGAAATCCCATGGCATTAACTGTTGGTGAGACAATGCTTAGCTTAGATGAATTGAAGAAAGATCCCAAAGTTCCTCTTCGAGGATCTCCAAATTTATTACAGGTTGAAAATTAATACTTTTAATTATGGAAATTAAAAATACAATTTTGTAAAAGTAATAACAATTCTATTTTATTCATGCAGGTTTGGCTAATGGAGAGACTTGGATTAATAAATCCTCCTAACAATATTGAAAAATAAACTCCAAATTGTCTTGAAAGAAGAAAGATGCGCTTTTTCTTTGAAGATAGGTCGGTGGCAGTGGAGTAAAATATTTGAAGCTCAACACTTCTCTGTCAAGTGGGTCATCCCTTGGTAGAAAATTGAGAAGATGGTTGGGACCAATGCTCGACCTGCATGATGTATTTCCAAGCTTATAAAAGATGACCTTTTATTTCCCTTGCAGGGTAAAAAGATAATACGATCTTGCATAAACTATCACTTCTGGGACCTTCGTAGACCCTATGAGCATCCTGTGTCCCACGACATTGAGCGTTTTGATGATTATTGGTATGCTCGTCCCTTATGGGAAGTTGTCTCCAATAGGATTAATTCCCCTTTGTCTAGGGAAGTGAAGGAATGGTTTTCTTAGTAGATCCCAAAAAGACAAAAATAAAACTCAGAGTACAAGTGCAGAGAAGACTAATATTAAAGATTGTTTAGGTGACAAGGTAATCCCAGCTATAGATCGTCTGGGTTCAAAAGTTGAATTCAAGACTCATGTCATGCCTAAAAAAAGAGTGTTGCTAAAGGCAAGGAGGAAAATTGGGAGATGAACAGATTTACGTTTCTCCAAGTGTGACACAAAAAAAATGTTAAACAAATTTTAACCAAGAGAGAGAAAGAGCGCGTGTTCCTTGCTCAAGCGCGTGAGCTCGAGCCGCCATGGAAGTGGGCACACACACTCAATCTTCCTCGGAAATTGTTCAGAATAAACAAAAATATACACAAAAACACAAGAATGTGAAGAAGAACAAGGAGAAAGGCAGTAATTGCGCATCAATGGAGGATGGAAGTACAAACCCAGATATCGAACATGGAGGAACAAATTATATCACCAGAAGCATCAATGGAGTAATTGGAGCAACGAGAAAGGGTTAGACAGACATTTTCGGACTGGGTTAGTGCAATAAAAGCTAGCTCGAATATCAAATCGAACATGCAAGGTAACCCAGATTTTCAACCATCTGTTTTCCATGCGAAATCTTCATCTAGGAATTTGCAAAGTAATTTTGATGATGTAGTTGAATTGAATGATGATAAAATTGCTAAGGAAAATGCTGGTGTTATTAATCCAAATGTTGATGGCATTAAAATTTATATGGATGATATTCAAGAAGAAATTGATTTTTGGAATTCATCGATTGTTTGCTATATTTGTGGGGCAAATCCTCCAATTTATGTGAATAAAGGGTTTTTCAAACGAATCTGGAGGAATTTGGGGATTGATAAAGTAGCTATGAAGGACAAGGGTATTTTCATTGTTAGGTTTGTAAATATGGAGAACAGGACAAGGCTCTGCTTGGACCTAGAATTTTCTTTGATAATGAACCAGTATTCTTGAAACCTTGGAATCCAGACATGACAATTTCACAGGAGGAATTCAAGATAATCCCAGTTTGGGTTCAGGTGCAGAACTTGAACTTGAAATAGTGGGGAGAGAAATCATTAAGTAAGATTGCTGGTAATGTGGGGATTTTGGGTGAAAATGGATCAAGCCACTGCTAAGAGAGAGAAGCTGCAATATGCTAGGGTTATGCTAGAGGTGGGGGTGGATCAACCACTACCAGAAGTGTGAGCTTTGTGAATGAGAAGGATTGCAAAGCGGCGGTCAATCTGAAATATAAATGGAGACCAGTCTTATGCTCTTTATGTAAGAAGCTGGGGCATACAGGTGAGGCATGTAGAGGCAAGAAGACGAGGATGTGGGTTTCTAAGGATAATAAGAAGCCTGCAGACCCAAAGCTAAAGGTGGATAAACCAGTTCTAGAGCCAGTCCAAACTACAGTACAAGAACAGGAAAAAGAGAATAAATTCCAAGAAGTGAAAAAGTCTTCAAGGAAATTACCTGAACCAGTCACTAAAGTAGCAATTAGTAATCCTTTTGCTGCTCTGTAGAACTGTGGTGGTGGAATTGTGCAGGACAGCCTGGTGTTATTATAGGAAGTTGATGTAGGGAGAATTACAGCTGTAGAGGTTGGAAAGACCTTTGACAACAATGGATAGAATACTATCCTGGAATGTAAGGGGAGCCAACCTGACCAGCAAGCACAAAAAGATTAAGCAATTTCTGGTTGCTCAAAATTGTGGTCTAGTTGGGCTCTTGAAAACTAAGGTGAAATCTTAGAACATGGGAAACCTTTATTTAGGGGTTTTTGATGGCTAGAATTTCACTTGTAATAATAGTTCTGTGAATAAAGGAAGGATAGTGGTTGCTTGGAAATCCCAATCTTTTGATGTGGACATAATAATGTGTATTAGTCAGATGATTCACTGTATTGTGAAGCCTAGAGGAATGAGTGAAGGTTTCACTGCACCTTCATCTATGCTTTTAACACTAAGGTTGAAAGGGAGGTGGTGGAATGATCTTAGAATTCTGAGTAGCAAGATTGATGGGGCATGGATTGCTCCAGGTGGTTTCAAATGTATTCTGGAGGTTGATGAGAGAATTGGTACTGCTGTAACTATGGATGAGATTGAAGATTTTAGAAATTGTGTTGATGACTGTAAACTATATGATATGAAATATGGGGGCAATCATTTCACATGGAATAACAAGCAAGAAGGGGTAGCAAGGGTTTTCTCTAAGATAGATAGGGTTTGGTGAATGATAAGTGAACTAATCTATTTAAGCATGCTGAGATGTATTATCATAATGAGGGTGATTTTGATCATTGTCCAGGAGTGGTCTCTGTCTTTCCAGATCAAAGGGAAGGTGAAAAACCTTTCAGATACTTTAATCTGTGGAGTAGGAAACCTGATTTCAAGGATAATGCGAAGCAGATCTGGAATAATGAAATTAAGGGTACATTGATGTACAATGTGGTCCAAAAGCTTAAATAGGTAAAGAAAATGCCTGTTGATAATAATAATCATGGTTTTATGAATGTTGAAATACAATACAATACAATGTGGAAAAAGATGAGTTAGATAAATTTCAGTTAGAGCTTCACAGAGATCCAAAGAATATAGAGTTAAAGGAAAAGGAGATGGCAGCCAGGGAAATTATGGTTACAGCTTAAGATGACTATAATTCTTACCTGAAACAGAAAGAAAAGGCTGACTAGATAACAGTAGGGGATCAGAACAATATGATGTTTCACAGATCCTTGAAGAGAAGGCAGATTTAGAACATAATTTATACTATTCAAAACATGGATGGGGAAAATTATGAGGATATTCCTAAAGCTTTTCTTAAGTATTATGGGTTCTTGCTGGGTACTGCAGCTACAACTAAGAAGACAGTCAATGAACACATTGTTAAGCAAGGTCCTTTGGTTAATGAAGAGTTGTAGGCTATGCTGTCAGCTCCTTTC